GAGGTGTCGCCCAGCCGCATCGACCTCGGCTTGGACAGATTTCGGAGGTCTTAGCCTTTAGCTGTCGGCTGCAATTAGCGAAGGCGAAGGTGCATAGGGTGCTGGTCTTTCTGGGTAGGTCTAGCTATGCGGTGCAAACCTCGTGAGAAAGCAGGTAAGGGTCATGGTTCAGTAGGAATCATCGCTTCGTCAAGAGGGGCTCGATGAATCCCCGCCGTCTGGCATGCAGCCTGCAACATTGATGCTGGCCGCGCTGCATCTTCTCACTTCTCTTGAGCTGGTTGCTGCCAACCCTCTGCTCTCGTCGCTTCTTCTCTTCAGGCTGTGATGAGCAAAGCTGCAAGCAAGCTCTCCTACAAGCTCCGAAGCCTTGAACATTGGAGCTCAGGTCTGTGCTGTGTGGCAGCTCAGCAACGAAGACTGCGATTCGCACAGCCAGGCTTCCAACTGCAGCCCCAGAAAACGGAATTGTTGAGTCGCTTACAGTTGCGGGGTTGGGCAACAGCGTTTCTTAAGTCGAGGCTCTAAGCTTCAGCATCCCTTTTTCAGTACTTGTCACGAACATAAGACAGCTGACGAATCCAAAATCCCCACCTCGTCAGCACCATCCGTGTCAGAGACCTGGGTGTGGGTTCGGCTCTGCCCGACCACTGACGGGAAGAGCGGCTCGTCTGCACAGAGGCCCCTACGGTCGGCAGAGAGAGCTTCTGCCCAGCATCCACCATGAGGATCAAAACTATCCCGAAGTCTTGATTGGACTTGTATGCCAGCTTGGTGCTCTTGATCTGGTAGCACTACCGGAGCCAGAGGCTTCGACGACAGCACGAGTGGATATCCGAAACGAAGCTGTTTGAAGCTGACGGGCTTCTCTTCACCAGCCAAGGGACCTATTCTGCAGACCTTTTGAAGGTGTCCCTGCCACGAGCGTCGCTGCGGCGCATCCCTGGGTGAAACTCTTCAGCCCTCGTACACCTAGCGTGGCAGAGTACGCACGGGCAAATCTCGAGTTGCTGTACATGGGGTTCTGCGTGCCACAGACGGCTGTCTCCACCCTGTCTGATGGCGCTCCACGCATTTCTCGGTCGGCCCAGTGGAGCTTCGGTTCGAAGGGCGACTACACAAGGGCTTGCGGTAATGACGACTCGGCCCAACCAGACGCATAACGTGCATATTATGTTCTTTTGTGCTCTTTCTGCGGCCTAGAGCTGTCTTGTGGAAGTCACTTCGCCCTCGCACGTGCTTGAGTCTGCAAACTGCTGAGCATGCCTGCAGAACCTGCCAACCGATTTTGTTCAGTCAAGGCTTAGCTGGTGGATCAGGACATGCCTGAGGCGAGTCTAGGCTTCGAAAGCACATCCTCTGATCTTGAAAAGATAAAATCGTACATGTGTACAAGGAGAAGATCGAGTGCAATGCCGATGAAACCGTATCTAGACCTGTGCGACTCCACGAACGTGGAATTGCACTCGCGGCCCCTTTGACAAGACTGCGCGAGGCTGGCCTAAAGTGCTTCGGATGCTCACCTCCAGTACAGCAAGTAGCCAGCCAGCTGACCTCAGATGTGCAATGGCGGCTGCGTGAAATGACACCAAGCGACGACGTGACAAAGACATGTTCCATGACCACTGAGGAAGCTCGGTTTGACGGGTTGCACGTGGCGGGACAAGTGTAATGTGGTTTACTCTTTCTTGGGACCTACCAACGCCAGCGCCATCAGAGCCGAGCTCCCGACCATTTCGTGCTGCCTGGACATAAAAACAGAAGCAAACTTCTGTGTACCGTATACTACTCGAAAAAAGTGCAGGACTGAGTACCCTGCAACTTGCGAAGCTGGTGTATGCTCCAAGGAGCTCCAGTATACCTGGGAATCACCGACATTCGCAATCTACTCGGGCCCTGGGCCGTCTAGACGTTGCAGACCTGAGCTCCAGACCAGCAGGCATACAGCAAAGGCAGCCACCAGCAGCGAGTGAGCCATCCAAACTGCCTCAACACGAGCCCGAGGTCGAGACACAGGCAGAGAAGAGGACAGAAAAGACACAAAAGACGCCTCTCCGTCGGTGAAGAGCCCCACCCGTGGGGGGGACGGACTGCCTGGTGACGCATTGCTTTGTTTCTTTGCGAGCGTTCACAGCTACACGAGGCCACTAGGCTGGAGTCCGTGGATGTTGCTTCGCATGTGCAATCAGCTACCTTCGTCCTGCGCACCGGCATCTCGGTCTGACCCCACATTGCAAGTCGCTTCATATTGCCTTCATGTTCGGTCAAATGATCGCAAAAGATCTTCCCCCAAGATTGCCCTTCGGGAATCCGAACAAGGGGCCTGGACCCCTCTGCAACCAAAAAGTTCTTGAGAACCCTGCCCTTGCTTCGATCGGTGTCTATGGCATACCCTACAAAACTATAGCATGATATAGTGTTCATTATACGAGTACTATATCTTACCGTATTATGGTATACTGTAGTCTATTGTAGTACAGACAGCACAGCAAAGAATCGATTTCAGCCGGACTCTGGCCCGGCCTTCATCAGGAGTTCGGCTCACCTCCTCACGGTTCTCCGAGGCCTCGCACTTCGCAGAAGGCCCAAAGACATCGGCGTCGGTTTTAGGGGTCTTCTAGGGTTTGGGGTTACATTTCTCAAGAACCCAAAATCTGCTGCGCCTTGCCTTGGGCTCCTCCAGCTGCGGCCTCTCGGAAGTCACCCAAAGGCGGACCCGGAGCTCCCTGAAGCTTCGCGCCCCGAGGCCTGGAGGCCCTGCTCTTCTGAGATCGCCGCTTTCGCGTCTCCTCCTTTGGCCTCCGGCGATGGCATTTTTTTGGGAGGTCTCGGGTCGGTCCCGGTGCTGTGAGCGATCTCGGCAGCCGGCAGCTTCGGGGCCTGCTTGGCGAAGGCCTCACGTGCGGGGTTGCCCTCAGCGATGGCAGAGGCTCCGACTTGTCACTGGCCTGCGACTGCCACAGCAGCCAGCTGTGAACATCCTGGCACAAAGACAAAAGGGGCCAAAGCCACCAGTGCAGACTCTGATGTCTGGAGTCCTGCGCCATGGCCTGAAGCAGGACGCAGTGCTGACTGGTGGAAGTGGACCTCAACTGCGCAAACGATGGCTCGCACGGAATGAGCCAAGGCACTAAGGCACCGGACAGCAGAAAGGCCACGGTGCGCCGCTCCGCTTCGAGAACAGGAAGCTCCAGGATCGCGTACCTCGCAGAGCAAACCTTGCGTCTCGGCGTCTCCAAGGAACGGCCAGAACGGGGAGGGCACTGTCGTCTCGCATGGGATGACCTGCAAAGCCAGACCAGGAGCTCGGAGCGCACTTACACTTTGTGGGTTCACGGAACCCTGCCTGCAGATCAGCAAATAAAGCTGGATGCCGAGGAATGCCATCCTGTTTGAAGCGAAACGGTGCATGGCATCAACGCCATTTTGCGAATCTCCTTGTGGGTCTCTTTAGCGGCTCTGCTCGCAAGTCGCTGGCCAAGCGGATGACCTGCTGAGCAGGAAGCAAAGCTTCGGCTGATGCCCCAACCTGCTGAAAGCGCATCCAAAAATCATCCAACTTCACAACACCTGCAGACCTAACCTTCGCCGCCCAACACTGGCGCCTCCTGTCGAATCTCCTCTTCAGAGATACTTAAGCTTTGCAAGGCATCCTGGGACTGGAAGAGGGCCTGACAGCTGAAACAATGCTGAGAATTTCAACCTCTCCCTGCGAATCATGATAGCACCTGCCTGCAAAAGCACAGACAACAGCCCAAGTCGCTCGCTGGACCTGCGTATAGTGGCATTCCAAAGCCCGGGCAGCCCACAGGGCAACGACCAAAAACTCCATCGTTACGAGCCTGAAACTGCGAAAGGGCATCTGTGCCTCGCCGAGGGTCAGTCTCTGTGTTACAGCAGCGGCGGAGCCTTCTGCATTGAGATGGCCAGAACTGCCTCCTTGAGTGCATCCGGATCTTTGGCACGCAGCCCCTTCGGCATCATGATAAATGGGATGCTTTGCACATCATAGCCCTCTAGCTTGTCAGCACCAGCCTCTGCAGATGCACATTCATCGCTTTCTTGAGGGTTCCTGAACAGGGCACTTGGCTTAGCCTGGACTTTTCGATTCTACATCACCAATGGCGCCCCCACCCCGTTTCCGCGCTCTTGGAGCAGACCTGAAATCCAGTCGGAGTGAAGATGGAGTTTGGTTCGCCCACGCTTGTACAATGCAGGCCCAAAAAGAACAGGAAGGCGCCTTTTTTGTCCGCAATGCAGACGCGACATCCACCATAGGACCATATCTATATGAGCAGCCCTGGAAAGCGGGGGTGACGTTCAAAAGTATCACCGGGGGCTGCGAAGGCTCATATGGAAGCTGCCTAGCCTTTTTTTATTACTCTGAGCTGGCTTCACTTGTCACGTTCCGGCAAATTCGGAGGCTTCCACAGTGCCGCTGCAGGCAGACAGGTTGCATCGCCAGAAAGTGCTCTTACTTTGGCTGCTGAATCTCTGAGCTTATGCACCTGGGACGCAACATGCTGTCTACTTGCCAAGAAAACTGTTTCATAGTACGCTGTGTACTTTGGGATGAAGGGCTTGCGACAACCCCCCTCAATCAGACGACAAATCCACAAATTCAGCGACCTCTTCTTCTGATACTATGCATTGTACTGTCGCAAGCATTGCCAAGTAGCGTCCATGCCGAGACCTACTCAGCCTATATCCCCTCGCCTTGCCAACTCCCACAGCACTTCTGCCTAGCCTTGCCCTCCTCGGATATATACTCATTGTTGGCAGGGAGGGTGTGGAGCATGGCTTCGTGGGCCTTGGGCCATCTGGAGAGCGTTGTGCAAAGGCAGTCAACCGCGGCCGCCACCCTTGCCACTCTCGGTCCGCAGCGTCACGTCCCATGCTTCCGGAGCAGCTGAGCTTGCAGCTCCAACTCTTGGTCAGAACTAACAGCAAACAGCGCAGAACCATGATCTAGCATGTATACCTTTAAATCATGTGCTACAAAGTTAAGGCATGTGCCCATTTCTGACCCTTCGACACCCGAGGACAACTTCGACTCACGGCCCGACTCAGAGCGCATGCAGGACGACACACGGAGCCCGAGCTGGATCTTGGTGCGGGTCTTGCTGGCATCGAAGCAAGGAGGCGAGCTCACTGTCACCACTCGCTCGCAGAGGTGACGGCCGACAGCACGGCGGCTGGCTTTGGAAGCACGTCGAGACGTCCGGCGACGGTGCTGTGCATGGCGAGTGCCTGCCGCAAATCTTGCCGAGGCAAGGCTGCCGCAAAGGCAGGCCGATGTTGTCGCTGCAGGTGCAACTGCCGTTGCTGCTGCAGCGACAGTTTGTGAGTCGACGCAGTTCAAGACTGCGAGGGACGGCGTCTCGTTCAAAGAGATCAACTCCGGAAGCATGGGAATGCTTTGAGCTTCCTGAACCACATGGGTTTCCGTGAAGATGGGTGCCACAGGCTCCTCGAATTCATGGAGGTTCTTCTCGGTTGTAGCTTTGAGTGTGACCACGGCTCGGCGGGCCACCGAAGGCTTCTGAAACCTTCCCTTTGTCAAGCGTGCAGCAGCCAAACAGAGAAGCGCCGCCGCAGCCGCCGTCTTGAAAAGCCTCTGATCCGGAGCAACCGAGGTGCCGGATCCGGTGGCGGTGGCAAGGGTCGCCACCTGCTTCGCCTGCCACGAAGGAACCGTTGCCCAGACACCCGATGTCGGCACTGGGCTCACAAAGACATCTCCATTCGTCACCAGCAAGAGCCAGCCCGCCACAAAAGCGGCAGACACCGAGAGCAAGAAGGAAGACGTTGTTCGATTCTTTGCCATGGCGTTCTCTTGTCAAGACGTGACTAACCTTCAGAGCCCGTGTCTGTCAGAGCAACAGCAACACTGCCATACAGCCCCAAGTCCTCGTGCGCAGTGTTGCAGCATGGACAGCATCTCTTGCTGAGACTCTAGCCGAGTCCGTGCTCTGTCTTCCCTGCAAATTGCCGTCACAACACCCGTCCTGGTCCTGGCGATAGGTCAGACATGTACGTGGACACTCTCGGTATGCCATGCCGATCCACGCCGCCTTCTCGAAAAGCAGCTGAAAGCAATCCCGAAGAGTGTCGGCGCTGGTGTCCATCACCTGAACATCCAGCATCCTGTTCGCTGTCACCTCTTGATCAATTCGGCCTCTTGGTAGTTGGCGGCCACGTTTCGAAGAACATGCAGGCTCAAGGCAAGACTATGCCTCGGCACAGGAAGAATGAACCAAGGGTGAGACCCGCTGGCGCAATATGGGAGTTTCCGAAAGTAGGGGACCCTAATATAGTACCCTAAATAGTAGGATCCTTATTATAAGGACCCCCAAATAAGGGTACCCCTTATTTCCGGAAAGTCCCATATCGACGTGCGGCCCAGCCACGTGCTCTCATGCCTCAAAGAGGCGGCATGCTGCAGCACAGCTGCCAAGGATCGCACCACTCCTTGGGAACATCGCAAAGTCAGGAAGTCGTCTTACCAACAAGGCCGAGACACGAACCTGGCGGGACCGTGTAGAGGCTGCTGTTCTCCTGGAGTGATGCATTTTTCTACACATCAGGCAAATCGAGGCGCTTCTTCACGCTGCAGAGACACAGCACGCGGACTGGCGAAGCTGGCGGACATGCTACTGTACAAGCTCGAGGATGGGCTGGAGACATCTACTTCGGCACTTGTGGCCTGACGGCTCTCAGGCGTTGCAGATTCTTTGTCTGCCTTTGCAGCCATGATCCTTGCGGGAAGAGACAAGGGTCCGCGACGAGGAAAGCAAAGACAGACTAGAAGACAGCTTCAGCATCTGGCTGGCACAGTTTGTAACAATGCTTCTCACCACTGTCGAACTGGCGTCCAAGCTGCATCAGTCGCAGACGAGCCCGAAGCGTTCGACCTCATTTCATCAAGCGCATTGTTTCTGGCACACCGTGCCCTCGTCACGCTTGCAGGCGGTCAGTGGATCCATGTTGCAGCAATCCGCATGGCAACTGTTCTGCCTCCTTTCCTCCCTTCGCTACGCCGAAGGGCTTTCACGTTCCTGGGCTCGTCGGAGGCGGTGCGCCTCCCTGAGCTCCTGCAGTCGCAGAGAGGGCTTCGCGCTCAGCTTAGCCGAGAAACGCGGTGAGTTTTGCAGGTCCTCCTGCAGCGAGTCGCACTCCCGGCTCAGGCGCAGGACTCTGAACTGATTCTCGGAGGCTGCCATGCTTCGATTCTGTCGTTCCAGGGAGAGCTGATGTCGTAGCTCCACACAACGTCTGCTGAGACGTGCGTTCTTCCCAGACAGTCCCCGCGGATCCACACTTTCATCTTTGCACAAGGCATATGTTGGAAGAGCGTTTGCTGCTTGCCGCGGGTCTTTGTCACTGCTCTTCAGAGCTGATGCTGCTGGCAGTCCGCTATCATTCGACAGCGGCAGACTGGACGACGATGGCGGTCGAGTTGAGTCCCGACTCGCACTTCCCCGGCCCTTGCAAGACAGATCATGAGGCACTGCGTCTCCGTGTCCGGACAAGCTTGCTGGCTCTGTCAAAGAGCTCGAAGAAGCCTTCGACTTCAGGCGGGGCGTCTGCTCTTCGGATGGACTTCGAGATTTTCCCGTGGCTGAACCTCGGAGAACTTGCAACAGCTCAAGCTCGCGCAGTACGCGTCGACGATGAAGTGGGTGAGAGACTCCAAGAGAAACTAAATCGTCCTCCTGCCAGCAATGCACCGTGCGTTGGCCCCTAAGGCCTCAACCGGGGGCTATCTGCTGGGGTCCTTCCCAAAAACTTCCACCCCTCCCCCCACTGCCCCCAAGCAGAGCATCGCTCTTCTCCGCCCTCCTGCACATCGCAGAGAGCCCCCGCAGTGCGAAGAGTTGACGCAATGACGGGCAAGCCACGACATTCCAGCCACCTACCGGCAGGGCGTGCCCAGAAGGAGCAACACAGCTATCAAGGCCAGTTCTCAATGCTGCCCGGCCGCTCAGGAACATCCAGACAGCAGATTTCATCGTCCATGATGGCTCATGTCCATGGCGGCATCAACCCCCGCCCTGCATCCCGACTTCCTTCTGCTGTTCCCGAGCAACGCAGCGGATCGTATCTTGCATGATCTTGCATGCGGTCGCCAGGTGCAAGCAAAGCTCAGATGGTCTATACAGTTGATGTTAAGATGGTCCTGAAGTCTGGCGGAAGCGGCCAGCACTGCCAGGCTGCCGGCAGCCGCAGCAGCCACAGAGATCTTCTCGGACCTCTTCTTTCTGCAACCCCTCGCACCCAAACCACCGCTCCAAGCACAGGCTCCCGGCGACTCTGCACCCGACAAGAAGGGGGAGGCGGCTGCCTTTTAGAATGCACAAGGACCAACTTGCCATGCACAAAATTCTTCCCTGTATGCTTCTGGCGCTGGCGGTAGCAAAAAAAGGAATGTTGAACTTTGATCCTCGCCCTGACAGTCACAAAAAGCCAGAGCAGGTTAGTCCAAGACCAACGAAAGAAAGCTCAACCCCCTTGCAACCAATTTTCGCCTCAAAGCCTCGAACACTAGGCCACTAGGCCTTTCTTTGAAGTGCCGAAGGTGCCAAGAAGACCCGAAACTCCGAACCCCCAACCCTCAAACCCCGACCCCTAAACCACCCTAAACCCACAAACAACAACCCTTAAAACCCTAAACCCTAGCCGTCCGAGAGGGACAGCTGTGCCTCTTCGAGATGGAAGCTCAGGAAGGACGAGGCATCGGCCTGGAAATCATCAATGAACCACGAAAGACGAAAGCAGGGTAGAGTAGAGTAGAGTAGACGAGCAGAGTATAGTTTAGTCTAGCATAGTCTAGTACAGTCTAGTAGAGAATCATGTTACATCATATGGTACGGTCTAGTAGTACAGTAGAGTAGGGTATAGAGTAGGCTCTGGAGTGCAGCCCACAAGATCTGGCAGCATCCTCTCTTCGCGGCTATGGCGCATGGCATCCTTTGCTTCATTCCCGCAAAGGCATTCTGTACGAGATGCCAGAACTATGCACAAGCAATCCCGGGTCTGGATCTGCAACAAGTTGGGGTTGGCGTCTGCTCTCCTCAGTGTTGCATGCTCCTTCCCACACTATGCCAGGACTTTGCCTCCGGCTGTCAAAACTCACATCATGCATCACATGCAACTTTTCACTTGCTCCAGGAGAACGGCCACCTGCCAGGAAAAGCCAAGGTAGGGCCACGGACCACAAGAGCGATGCTGCGAGACAGCCATGAAAGCCTTGCTCAAGGCATCCCAGAGCTTTGGACCTTTGGACTTCATGAAGTCAGGATCGACCTGAGAAGGCTTAATTAGGGGCTCCGACGAAGGCCGGATGGGAGCACCCAAAAAATAGCACCGGTCCCAGGGCCGCTACACAGAGCTTCTCGTCCATTGCCACGAAACCGCATGCCTCGTCGGATCGGGAGCGAGATGTGGCCAAAGAAGAAGGGCAGCGAAACCCTGCAGAGCGTGCGCCGTTCGGCCTGGAGCACCTCGATGCCTCCCTCAAGCGCTGCAACTCTGGAGCGAAAGTTGCTGTTCTGGCCTGGGCAAAAGAAGCCCAGTCACCGCACGTCACGCTTCGTCCCTGCACAGGCTCCCTGCAGTTGATGGAATGAAACTTCGACTCCTCGCTGCGCACGCGCAGTCGCTGTGAAAGCGACTCGAGCTCTTACTGAGAGTGTGCTAAATCAGCCCACATTTTGTTCTCTTCTCCTGCGGGTTCTTGGCTAGGTTGCTGATGTAGGCATGGAGGGTCTGCCTCAAGCATCCATTTCTTTGAATCGCTGCGGTTCAAAGACAGTCTCCAAGGCTTTGGCAAGCAGGTAGCGAGGGCTACCGGATCTCGCTTCAAGTGCTGTCGTCGCAGGGCCTTCCATGTACTCATCATCGGATGATAATCTACCTTTGTATGTCCAAGCCCGGCCTGCAGGGCATTGACTACAGGATCCGGCTCCCGGGCTCCGCCACCCTGTCTGGGTCAGACTTCCACACGAGAACACAGACCCTGCATATATGAACGGAGAAGTTCGCGTTTGCCCAAAGCCCTCCTGGTGCCGGATGGAAGTTGGTCCCGGGTTTAGGTTAGAGGGACAAACTTTGAGCATCAACAGAAACCCCAGAAGTCGCAATCTTTGGGTGGGTTGGGGCATGGCGGGGCCCCGACACCAAGACTTCAAACGGAGCGTCGCATGTTCGTGGCGAGAAGGATCCAGGGTTCGGCATACGGCAGGGCCCCTGAGCAACTTCCTATATCGTGGAGGCCAGCTCTTCACTCCCGTGGTGCATGGAGGGCATAGCGAATAGTGGAAAAAAAGACAGCAAGAAAGCACAAATAGGCCATCCTCCGCTTCCTTTCGCTTAAGCTCTGCCTGCCATCATCGAGTCAGCAACTTCATGGGGGGGAAAGACGCTGCATGCAGCCTCCTCCCGTTCTCGGCGCAGCTCAGACTCTTCACGCGCCGCGAAACGGTCAGCAACTGTGGCCTGATCCGCGATCTCTCGACGCTTTTTGGGGGGCAGAAGGGGAGCTCGATTTGCGGCTCAAGGCACCGTAGGCACCGAGGCGGCTTCAGACTCGGCCTGGTGCAGTCAGAGCACGCTGAGTCTTTGGGTCTTTTTGTACCTTCTGCGGAGCTCATTTCGGGTCCCCGGCCTTTGGAGTCGCCACACTGCCCTGGGAAGCCGCCGGCGCAGCCGCCGGCGCAGCTGCGGGCGTTGCCGCGGGCGTTGCCGCGGGCGTTGCCGGCTTCGGCTGCTTTGCTGGCTCCGCTTTGTCCTTCCGAGCCACCTCGGCCTTCTTCGGTGTGGAGTGCGCCTCCTTCACCAGCTTGCGTGGAGCCTCTGTGCTTGAATCCTTTGTGGAATCTTTGCCGGAAGAACAGAATCTGCTCAAGCAACGGCTTGCCAGATTCGGTCTTCGGTCGTTCGTGACCGCTTCTGCCTGGAGGAGGGAAGCAAATTCTCACCACAGGCCTGTCTGCAGAGGGGCCTACACAAGCAAAGGCCTCGCGTCTGGCGTCGGCCAAGGTCCAATAAAGAGCTCTAGAGGCTGCAAGACATGCGAAAGCCGCAAGTCTTCCAAGTCTTCATGTCAAGACTCCAAAGCTTTCCCTCAACCTCAACACCACACACTTCATCCGGCCTTCATTTTCTGGTTCGGCTGCTGCTGTCGAGATGCTGGCTGCTGCCTGCTCTGAGCTGGCCTGGGTTTCGCAGAGGGCTGCAGCTTTGGCGCGGATGAAGCCTTCGTCTCGTGAAGCTCTTTCGTCGGCAGTTCTTTGGGTGCCCTTTTCGAAGTCGCCGGAACAACCTCAAAGCTCTGGTCGCTCTAGCCGGCTGCATGAGATTCATATATCCCCCCAGGCATCGCACCGGAGGTGGCTTCGCCTGGACTTCCGAGGAATCCGATCAGATCTCAGCCCTTCACTGCACCACGTCGTCGCCTGACTGACTGGAGGACGAACTGGTCGGGCTGGTGGCGCATCGGCAGTTTGGGCACTGGACACCTGAGAGCACACACAGCCGAGAAGAAGCAGAAGTTGACAAGCGCAGCTGGAATTCCAAGGTGGATGCGGAAGAAGAGGGTCTGGGCTGCAAGCGAAACCTGCCAAAACTAGCTACATTACTTGAGCAGATTGCTCAAGAGATCCCCAGTCAACACCACCAAAACCCGTCCTTGCTGCTCCTGGTCGAGAGGCGCCGGACAGCCTCAGGTGAAGACTGGGGAGCAGCGCAGTTTTGATAAGCCTCGAAAACCTGTCAAGATGGCCAAACATAGCTTTAAAAAGTATGACACTGCCAATGTGTGTTCTTTGCTCCACGCCTGCTTTGCTCCACATCCGGCCGAAGGTCACGTTGACCTGTACAGTTGAGGCGAGTGAAGGGCCCTGGGCTTCTTCGGCCTACTTCTGCTGCATGGGCGCTACGACTACAAGTCGACTCTTGGCCTACACGCCCCTCGGGGTAAGCGGTTGGTGCGCCAGGGCTCCTGCGGCAGCGCTGCAGTGCTGCAGTGGGACATCGCTGGACCATTGCTCTCTGGTTCTTAGTAGGGAATGGGGGAATGGATCCCTTTGATAGTCCCTTAAGGCCCGCATAGTGGTCCCATGCAATAGCCCATTCCTCCATTCCCTACTAAGAACCAGTCAGATTGTCGCGCCCCGCTGCCTTGATGGAGCGCTGGTGTTCGAGTGCTTGGGGCTGACAGCGGCCTCGGCGCTGATACCCAGCTTCGGCAGGGACAAGCAGGATGATCCCAATTTGGGACCCTGGCATAGGACGCTTCAAGTGCTTGCGCCAGTGCGGCTTGCTCCTGCAAGTCATATCACAGAGTCAAACTCGGTTTTGTGGTGCCCCTAGCGCCTCAATCTCGGCCTGCTGCTCGAAGGCTTGCTGACTTTCCAGCAGTGCCCTCTCAAGATCTAGCCTGTCGGACGTGGTAACTCATTCTGATGGAACGTGTCTCGTCCTGAACCTAGAGGCCTCGCGGAAGCTTCATCAGCTGCAGATGCTGCTGACTGGGCCATGGCAATGGCTTCATCATCCTGCTGTGGACAGTTCTATCGAGAACTATGAAAACGGCTCTGCCAACTCCGTGCGGTGGTGAAGGGCTATGCGACATGAAACACCAACCTCCTCGTGAGAATGGATGAGCCTGTCCACATAGCCTCGGGCTGTTGCGAGACGGAGACATGATCATGCCGACCTTTGGGAAAATTCTCAGTTGGCTGCCGGTTCTCATTGGCGGTCTCGCCTCATCTGTCTGCAGCGGCACCTGCGAGGCTACGTACAACATTTGATGGAGGCAGATACCGTAATGCTGCAGGGCCAGATAAGTAGCACCTCTGCGGGAGAGACGGCCTCAGCGGCAGGGGGTGGGGTCACACGTGGTACAGGAGGTGACGCTGCCACGCACCAACGAGAAGCCAAGCGGCCGTTTGCCCCCTTCCGCCGGTGACCGTCTCAAGAGCTGCCTGCAAGGACCGTTGTTGCAGTCTCACAGGTCGAGAGAAGACTCAAGGCCTGCAGGTCCCAGCTGTGAGACTCGAGAAGCTGCTGTGCAAAATCGACATCTGCGTCTGGACCTCTGCCACACCCGATATTTCTGCAAACAAAGGCAGACGCACACACAAGATACCAGCCTAGACTGTCCAGAAATGTGATGAGCTTTTGATCCTGCGGGTACAAGGCAAAATAGGAGCAAAATCCCTACTGTGCAGAACTCCGACGAGCTGTCCTTGTCCATCTCAGCACATTGAAGCTGATGTCCGCTCTTGCTGTGGAGCTCGAAATCTTCCCGATTCTAGAGTCAACTCGTCTGCTGGTGGTAGGACATGTCGGAAAAAAACGATCTCGTGACCCATGCTTGGGCTTGTCGTTTTGCCAGCATGCACACGCAGCACGTTCCGCGCTTGAGGAAGCTCGCAAGATGCGCAAGATGCAAGCACCAACAAAAAGCTGCACTCAACCTAAACCGAAGGGCACCTCGTGCAGGTGCGTGAGGATCGATCTGTCTTGTAAGTGGTGAATGGCCTGGCTATCAGCCCATGCCATGTGAAACACGTGGTATTCAGAGCAGCAGCAGGGCCAATCAGGCTTGTGACTCTACGACTGTTGGCGTGAGCTGGCCATGATGGACACCAGCCTGCAAAGCGTTGCTGCAGCGTCCACAAGGACATTGCATTGCTTCTTCTCTCAAAGTCGTTCGCTTCAGTACCATAGGTACCTGAATCAATGCCGGGCATAGGGTAGATCTCAATCATCCATACTCACTCCAGCGGGTGGATACCACGACGAGGTCCAAGTAGTCGCCAAGAAGTTCGAGAGCAGTGCTCCCCTCGTCCTGCACGTCATCTGACGTTCGCTTGAAATGCTCTGCGCACGCGTTCATTGCGTAGTAAACGATCCTTCCAGCGTGCGTCTCGCCTGCCCTGCAGAACCTGGCACCATGCGAGCAGCGTCCCACATCCACGCTGCAAATGAAGCCGAATGAGGCTATCACCACTGTGTGGACCATGAGGAGAAGATCATGGCAGCCCTGACCTGACTCGACCCTTTCTATGGGGAGTTAAAAAAAGGGCAATCTTGCACCACTTGCCTTGAAAATTTCCCGAGCACCTTGCCAGTCCTGAGAAGCCGCTGCCAGTCCTCAACACGGTGTGACTTCATCAAACCTGGGCCTATCACTTCTAGCTTGCAAAACGGTCCTCCGAGCTCATCGTCTCAAGTCTCGACATGATGGAGTCGACATGAGCAGTCTCCTGGAAGTCCAGGAGTCAGCACATTGAGCACAGTCGTGCACAGTCGCTGCCAGGAATTCCAGACTCCTTTGCCGTGAAAGCAGATGCAAATCGTCCGGGCCTGGGCACCCAGCGTTGAGAAAGCACCCTTGACTTTGGACTACTTCGCAGCGAGAACACATGCCTTGCACGGCAACCGCATTGCAGCCACGCACATACAACAAGGCTGCAGCAAGTCTTGCAAAGGCACCCTGTCTCCAACATCGCTTTCCTGCACAAGTGTTCTGGTATCGGTCGTACCATGCTGCATGCACGGCCCGTCAGGGACGGCCTCTTCAGAGTTCAGCCTCACACGGCGCTGCACTGCAGAAAAGAAGGAGAAGGCAGCCATCGTCGTCATCATCATCATTATCATCACCATCGTCAACATCAATAACATCAACATCAACTTCAACATCATCACCATCATAATCGGCATCAGGCGCAACATTCTGAGCAGCATCACCAGCAGCATCACAAGACAAATGCTCATCAGAACCACCATCATAATCACCACACAAACATCGAAACCAGCATTGCCATCATCGTCGTCTTCTTCTCCTACATCAGAGCCGCAAGCCTTTTTTCACTACCATAGCCATCATCACAATCAGAATACTCAATCATCGTCCCGCCGTTGTGGCCCAGCTACACGGATCAGCTCCAACATATCGAAATGTCTGCTCATCAAGGTTGCGACATGGATGATGCTTCATCGGCGCCATGAACCAGCTACTTAAAGTATAGTTGACGGAATTTCCGTGATGGGCTTCACGATCATGTCGGTGACTTTGTGAAGGGTGGGATCCGGCTGCTCCTTCTTACGTTGCATGCTTTCGTGCTTCCACCGTTACTCTATGTCACTAGGCACGAGCCAAAAGACAGCATCAGGCACAGACCACAACATCTCTTGCCCTTCCAGCCTGGCTACGACTTCCACGCGATCAAGATCAACTGCATCAGCGAGGCTTTGGCACTTTGCAGCTGCCAGCAGTCTGGACAACATGCTTCGAATTACTCGGGGCATCCACCAGCCCAGATGCTGTGGCCAATGAGTACTCCGCAATGGCTAAGCTGACTCTCTGAGTCCTGCTTCGAGCAGAAACTCAAGGCAATCCTGCAGGCATTGGCAAGATCGCAATGCTGCGGCGAGCTTTGTGAAACACTTGCTCGACTCGTTTTTCTCAAACCGAGGCTGCGATCGAAAATCTGAAAGGTGCAAGACATGCTAGCATTTACATGGCTGCATCTTGAAAAAGCACCTCCGACAAGGCTACATTCAACGAGCTCTTGTCGTTCATGTGCGAGCACATGTACGCTCACCAATGCATATGGATGCTTTCTTGTGTGACAGTACGACTCTTTTTATTTCCTCTATTCCGTCAGAAGGCCCCCCTCAAATCTTGACAACGTCAATGCCTCCGTCTCACGATAGCACAACACCTCTCCTGGCCCTTTTAATGATCTCCAGACAGGCGCGGCCTCGCCCGGGCGCATCGTCCGCCTTTGCGAAACAGTCCACATACTTTGCGTTTGCATATATATATATATCTCTCTCTCTCTCTCTATCTCTATCTCTATCTCTATCTCTATCTCTATATCTCTATATCTATATCTATATCTATATCTATATATATATATATCCACTGACCTCAGCCGCATTGGCTTTTACCGGCTCTGCCGCCCGAAGCGGCCTCCCCTGCAACAAGCTCACATTGTGCTGCTGACAGCATGCGACTTGAAAGCTCGATCAAGGCCTCTTCCGGTCGACCTGCCGATCTGTTGGAAGCTCAGTCCGTGTGCACACACGAAGATGGCGACAGCGGATCCGGCCTATGCCAGTGTCACCCATCTCGGCCGCTTTTCTCCACGCATGCCGCACCGCGATCTCGTGTACTCCACCACAAACAGAGCGTCATTTAGGAGCAAACATAAGCAAAACAGACAACACGCTGAGGACAGTGCTGTCTGCCAGTTGAGCTGCAAATCGACCGGATCGGCCACCGGATAAGTTCGACCCACGCTTTTCCTGCAATGATGTTGCTATCTAGGCCTCACATGGCCATACTCTCTCCGCAGCCTTTTCCAGTTAAAGTTGTTGTTGTTGCAGACTTTCCAATCCGCACAACCGCAACACAGCTGGCCTTGGAGGGTCTTCAAGAACATCATGTCCAGGTGGCTGGCAATCAACATAGGGTTCAAACTCAGACTTTTCTTCTTGCACATCTGTCGGCTTCTCGCTGCTTCTACAAAGCTAATTAAGTCTCGTTGTCCAGCTCTCTTCAGCCCTCTCGCCGTGGATCATGATTCATGTCATGATGAACTCAAGCAATGCAAAGGCCTGCCGCGAGATGCAATTAGGGGCGCAATGTGTCGAGCATGACATATTGTCCTGCCATCCATCAAGCAAGCTCAACTCCGTCTGATGCGTTGACGTAGCAGCAGCAAGCAACATAACGAATTGGTCCCCCATGGCGGCCAAGTCCACTGTCAGAAAACCTTTGTCTCGAACATTAGTACAAGCTGCGGAGATATGAAGCCAAGGTGGCTTGTATCTGAGACAAGTCGAACAGGCCAAAGCAGAATGAAGCAACGCACCCCCAAAGCCGTCCAGAATGCTTGATTCACAAACCTACTCTTCGGTGCTTGCTGGGAAAGGGACTCGCCAAGGCTCCGACACCTTCTTGCATCTGGGCTTCATCACTGTCAGTCCGTGGGAGGAACCGGACCATGCTTAGCACTCCCAGGCCCCCCCAGAGGAACACAATCCACTCACTTTGGCACTGCTGGCCAAAGCGAGTCATGTCATTACGGACATCTAAACCCCAGAAGCCTTAAAACGGCCAACACATATGTCAGCGGCCACTCACGCGTCAGAGTTTAGAGAGCCCATCCTGCAGGCATCTGAGCCCAGCAAGAAGCTAAGCAGCCAGAAACCTCACTCAGCTGGCTTGAGCCTCTGCATTTGTTCTAGAAGTTCGCACTGTGACGGGGCCCAGCTGATCGCTGCACCACCCAAAGGTCTTTGCTCCCTTTGCTGCTCCAGTCGCCGCTGCTCCCGTTCCTGCTCCAGGAGCATTGATCTGGTTGGAGTCCAAGAAATAGATTTAAACCTTGGCAAGTTGCAGTTGCTTGCAGCTGCTTCCAGGGCCTTTGCCCCTGCGTCATAGATGTTGTTGTCCGGCAAATCAAGTGTCAAAAACTTAGAGGAGCTCAGATGGAAGGCTTGAGCAAGGGCCTGTGCTCCCACATCTCCGATCTCGTTGTGTCCCAGTTCGACCCGATGGATGGAAGAGCTCATCTTGATGACTGCTGCGAAGGCCTCCGCTCCAGCATCTCCTATCTGGTTCCTGCTCAAGTCGACACTCCGCATGGAGGAATTCGTCTTGACGGCTTCTGCGACAGCCTGCGCTCCCAAATTTCCAATGCGGTTGCCACCAAGGTTCATTATCCACAGAGAGGAGCTGACTGCTGCAGCCTCTGCAAGAGCCTGTGCTCCAACGTCCCCGATCTGATTGGAACCTAGGTCGATCCGTTCGATGGCGGAGCCCATCTTGATGGCTTCTGCAAGGGCCCGTGCATCGACGTCTCCCAAGGAAGCAAAAGACAACTCAACCTCGACTCTTTCCCTGAACTTGATGGCCGAGATCGCATGCGCCAACTTTAAAACCTTGTTGCCGACATGATCGGCAGACAGCTTGACCGATCTGATGGAGGGATTCATCTCTATGGCTCTTGCCAAGGCCTCCGCCCCTGCCAGCCCAAACTCGTTCCCGTCTAGTTTGATCCTCATGATGGAGGGGTGCACCTTGAAGACTTCAGCAAGGGCCTGTGCCCCCAAATCTCCTATCTTGTTACCTTCGAGGTCGACCTCTGTCATGGAGGAGCGCGCCTCGATAACTTCGGCAAGAGCTTGCGCTCCCACATCTCCTATTTTGTTCCCCCCCAGTTTTATCCATGTGAGGGAGGAGCTCGACTTGGTGGCTTCGGCGAGGGCCTGCGCCCCTACGTCTCCAATCTTATTGTACTCCAAGTCGATCGATTCGATGGAGGCGGTGATCCTGATTGCTTCTGCAAGGGCTTGCGCTCCGGCATCTCCTATCTGGTTGAAGCACAAGTCAATCTTACGGACGGAAGACTTCATCTTGACAGCTTCTGCGAGGGCCTTCGCATCAGGATCCTCCAGGCGCATGCTGCGTAAACAAACTGCAGCTGGTGCTGTTCTGAACCTGATCTGCCAGATGACCTGTGCCACCTCCAACGCCTCTGTGGTGGCCTCTTGGATGACGTTGCCTTTCAGGAGCGCCTCCTTCTCTGAGGAGCTGTCTCGGATCGCATCGCTGACAGCCTTCACACCCTTATCGTTCATGTGGTTGAAGGTCAGGTCGATCCACTGGAGGGAGGGGCTAGCTTTCACAGCTTCCGCAAGAGCCTGCCCTCCCGGATCTCCAATGTAGTTGGAACTTAGATCGATCTTTCGGACAGAGGAGGTCACTTTGAGGGCTTCCGCAAGGGCGCGCGCTCCCACGCTTCCGATGTGGTTGGAGCTGAGGTCAACCGATTCGATGGACGAGCTCACCTTGATAGCCTCAGCGAGGACCTCAGCATGCGAGTCGTCCAAGCGCATGCAGCTCAAAGTGAGGACCCGCACCGTCTTGATGTTAATGGTCACATTCGCGATTTGCACCTCCTCCATGAACTTGATGTTCGAAATCTGGTTGGCCAACTCCAGGTCCTTCATGGTATTCTCTTGGATCTGGTTGCCTTCAAGGAACGCCTGCTTGAATGAGTCGCTGTCTTGGATCGCTTGGAGAATGGACTGTGCGCCCATATCTCCGACTCGGTTCTTTCTCAGTCGCAATGTGTGAAGGGAGGGGCTAGCCTTGAATGCTTCAGCAAGACCCTGTGCTCCAACGTCCCCGATCTGGTTGGAACCTAGGTCGATCGATTCGATGGCGGAGCCCATCTTGATGGCTTCTGCAAGTGCCTGTGCATCGGAGTCTCCCAAGCCAGCACAAGTCAAATCAACCTCGACTCTTTCCCTGAACTTGATGGCCGAGATCGCATGCGCCAACTTCATAGTTCTGCCATGATCTCCGATCTGGCTATCGGAGAGCTCGACCGATTTGATGGAGGGATTCAGCTCTATGGCTCTTGCCAAGGCCTGCGCGCCCACTAGCCCCATCTCGTTCGCGTTTAGGCTGATCCGCATGATGGAGGGGTGCACCATGAAGACTTCAGCAAGGGCCTGCGCCCCCGAATCTCCTATCTTGTTATCGTCCAAGTTGATCTCTGCGATGGTGGAGTTCGACTTCAGAACTTCAGCAAGAGCCTTGGTATCAGAGTCGCCCAGGCCGGCCTGGCTCAAATCAATCTTATCTTTCTGCTGGAACTTGATGGCTAAGATCGCGTTGGCAAGCCGCAAAGACTTCAAAGTGGCCTCTTGGAGATTCTCCTCAAGTCTCACTTGCATGTAGAAGGAGCTCCGTCGCAGTGCTTGGATGATTATCTGAGCCCCTGAGTCTGTGATGTTGTTCTTCCTCAAAAAGATTGAAGCAGGACCTCGGCACGCCTCCCCACATGAGCTGCTTCTCTCCTCAATCAGCCTTCTCCAAGCCTCCAGGAAGGGAAGGAGGTTCTCACAGTCCTCGATGTGGAGCTCTTGGACGGAAGAATCGAAGAGGGCTTCAAGGAGGGGTCGGGAGTCGCCAGCTTCAAACTCGCAGTGCCGCAGCTCCAGCCGCTTCAGGCGCGGATAAAGCGGGATCGCGGCAGCGAGTACCTTCAGCTCTTCCTGGGGCAGATCCTGCAGGAACAGCACCTCGGTGACCTGGGCCTTTTTGTTGAAAATCTTCGCCTGCAGGTCCAGCACTGGCTTAGCGTCCCCACGGTGAGTGAAGACCAATTCCTCTGCAGCTACCCGTGCCTCGAAAATGTTGGGGGGCATTGGGGCCTCTCGCCCATACTTCGGCATCACATCTGCGTTGTCGATGATTTGTGTTTTCTCTGAGTCAGAGCGTGCCTTGGACCACTGCAGCTCAGCTGCACACCAGCCGCGGCGCCTCTAACATATAGGCAATTGAATCAGAATACGTCTTTTGGGCATACTACATAGTGATGCAGTACGGTGTTGAAAATAAAAAGATCACAGAGGGAACAGCGGAAATTTGTTGGGCCACAGCGCCTGTAAGGAGTGCGGTTGGCTGTGAGGCGGCTCATCAGCGAGAGACGCATCCTACAGCTGACGTGGGGGAACAACTAAGTCTTTATGACAGGTCTATGGACTTGCAAAGACTTTAGACAGTATGTATGGAATGTATGGTTCCAAAAACATCAAAATTATTTGCATATCATCACAGGCATCTTCTTCTTGGCATCGTCCCAGATCTCTAGTCGTGTAGATGCAGCTTCTGCCTCCGTTTCTGGGGCCAGAGATTCTATGCGCCATGTCTGTGTCCACTCGTGACAGTATATGACCTGCATATTCCGCATCGCTGCCTGAAAACTGCGATTCTGCTCGTCGGTGCTACGCTCGTACTGGTACAGGCTCATGAAATCAATAAAGAAATAGTAATCCTGGGGAAGGTTCCTGCGCATCAGCCAAGATTTGGGAAGAGTTGGGCTCCCCAAGTTCAGAATCTGCTGGACTATCAGACGCAGCTGGTGACGCGACGGGTCTGGATGTTCTCGTGCTTCCCAGCAGTGTGAGATGGCCACGAAGGGGCAGCCTCCTTCCTTCGTCCAGTCAGAGGGCACAGGCATCTTGCTCATCGTGTGACCATCAATGAAGAACTCTGTGGAGCTTCCTCCTGCAGCGAGAGCCTCCTGCTCCAACTCCTGGCGACGTGGCCAAGCACGGCCTTTGTCAAGAAGCTTCTTCAGGTATTGTCCTCGGATCAGAAGGATGTTCGCATCACGCAAGAAATTGAGAAGGCCCTGCAAATCAGTCAGGTCGTAGTCCTCATCCATCTTTTGTGCCCCTACATCAGGGTACCCGGCAGGTAGATCCGGTGGGGCATCCATGGGCTGCTAGCTGGCGCCGTGAGCAAACACGGCACTTGTTTGGGGATGGGGTTCAGGTTGCGGTCCTGACATGACTGCATGAGCCAAGTTCTTCTGTCTGCAATGTCTAGACTAAACCTGCATGCCGTATGCGATGTCAACACCAAATCTAGCCTCTGACACAGATAGATACTTCCCGAAACAGTCCGATATGCAGCACACAGAAGAAACAGCGCTTTGGAATGCACTCGATAAAGCTGGAGCTGCAGATTAAGCGTCAGGGTCTTGTGCCCAGAGCTTCCAGAGGCTGCGTATGGCTGCAATGGAGGATCCAGGACTGCAGCACAGCTGCTTCTGCTACCCACAATCTCCTCCGTGCACTTGTTGAGCATGCCCGTTTGCAGTATGCCGATGTGTAAGTGTGCTTTCGCTATGTGGCCGTGAGCAGAGGCTGAGAATCCGAAGGGTTGGCGGTCTGGAACTCAAAGCGGACCAAGCAGGCGTCACACACACAAGATACAAGCTCACACACACACACACAGAGTACAAGCTCATGCTCATGTCAGGGTTTGACTGACTTTTCAGCTGCCTGCTGTTGGTTCTGCGTACGGGCGCTTCGAAAGAGCCGCTGGAAGCTGCCTTAGACGAAGTTGAAACAGCACCAACACTGGCAGACCTCGGAGACAAGCATGGCCACTGTGCCAGCTCTGCAGGAATATTTCCCCGATACAAAGCTGCCTCTTTCCTGCCACCCATTGAGTCCAAGGACTCTTGCCCAAAGGCCACACACGTGCGGGTTTCAGCGTGCGCATGTCTTGGCAGTTTGTGCACTGGGACATTACAATGATTGAAGTTTAAGGCAGGGGAAAGGGAGCCGGACTGTGGCAGGACCGTGGCACACACACACGCAAGACGTTCCGAACCAATTGGAAAGCTTTAGAATCCAAGCAAAACTGACGCTTCTTGCTCCAACAATAGAACGCTTTGTGTGCAGACTGAACATCAATGAAGATGCTCAATAGTGTCGAAATGTTCCCATGCATGCATCCCGAAACTGGAATGTCCTTGTGAAACCCGTGGAGAACGCCCTCCAAGCATTGAACAACTCAAAGGCCAGGGCATGCAATGCAGCGCTTGACCCTATGGGACCCAGGCCCGAGGGACTGTGAAGGTCCAAGGGGCTCGCCGCCTGCACAAAGGAGCAGCTTTAAGGCACTAAGAAGCTCGATGCCCGAAGCTCCCAATGTGGTGCGAAGCACTCTCCTACGCAGTCATGTCGCGTTCGTGGACCCTCCCGCGCAAAACGTACGTTGACCAAACTTTCTCTGACCATTTCCATCGCTTTCAGCTCTCATCAGGTCAAATTGAATCATTTTGAAAAAACTCGAAGTTTGGACAAGTCCCGAAATGGAAAAAGGCTCTGTTTTTTCGATGAATTTTGCCCAAAAAGTTGCTATGTTGGACAGCAGCAGAACAGCATGTTTTTTTTCACGAAATGTTTTTAAATGCTTCTAGAATGCCTCGGGCATGTCTCAGTATGTGCTTTTGGAGGTTGTTGGAGGGTTTTGTCGTGTTTACTCGCCTCAATTTGGGTCATTTATGGCGTGCACGAGTGCTCCTTGAACGCCACAGGCGGTCGCGCCAGGTCTTTTTTCGAAGTCGCACGCAGTGTTCCGGTTGGATTCTGAAGCTTCGATGCAGAAAACGCCCCTGGAAACGGTCCAAAAGGGCCTTTGCCCAATTGTCGAAAAATTGCTCCGAATGCCTCCAAAACCATTCGTCATGCTTCGAGACATGCAGTATTTTGTTAGAATGTGAAGCGTAGAGGCGACGGGTGGCTCCTCGAAGACGCCTTTTTGTGCTCTCGGAGCGACCCTTTTTTTGCTTTTGTATCAGTGGTTTCCTTGTCTGTGGACTTTCCGCTTTGATTGTTTTTGCAGCTTTTTGGAGCTCTATCAGATGCCTCAGAGGCAGCTGGGAACGTGCTCCTTTGTGAGAGGTTTGAAGCGGCTTGGTCAGCGGGAGAAACTCACGTTGGTGCATGGAATTTCTGCGATGGTGTGCTTGGCGGGTTTGGTTTTTTCAGGGTTCGGAGGTCGCCAAGAACCGGAGTCGTCGTCGGGCAGTAGCCATGGACACGGGAATGTCAGGGAGGCGTTGTGTTTGTGTTTTCGGTGGGTGTGTTTTCGGGTGGCTGCGGGAGTTCGTGTGGCTATTTTCGTGTCTAAGGCTCACGAGTGCTCAAGCTTTTCGCGCCCTTTTTTCTCTGCTAGACCTCACAGGAGCCACGGATTGAAAGATTTGGATAACAGCACCAATCCTGACCACGTTGACGCCGAAGTCGAATTGTTACTGACGGAAACACTCATTCACCACTGAGTGAGGGCAAACAGCAGAGGTGGGGAGGGCCTAACCTAACACCCCCAACCAGGCACAGAAGGAAGGACAGGCCCTGAAAAGGGAACCTGTCATGCATGAAGCTTTACAAGCATCTGTAAGCTACGAGACTCTTGCGGACACTAGCAAGATGATCAAGCACTCGAAGATTCTGGGCTTTGGTACGCGTCGGCGCAGGCCAACCCATCCTACGCTGCATGTCGTCACCCGGTATGGCCAGGCGAGAGGCATTGAAGTGCGCACAATTCCATGCACAGTGATCCCATGTAGGAGCATAGCCCTCCCTGCAGAAGGGACACCACTGCACTGCAGCTCCACTTTGATTGGCCTGGCGACGTGCTGGGCTGACCACTGCAGCGGTAAGTACTGCACGGCCATGGGCACAGGTGGCATTCCACAGCTGCCATGCCTGCTTGACACGAGCCGGTTGGAACGTTGTGTTAGCCGCAGCCACAGCATCCAGTCTACCCGAAGCTTTCCACGCAGCAAAGCGTTCAAATCGCCATGCTTCCCGAAGCAGGTGCTTGATGCGGTCAATCTGCAGGTTCCTTGCCCAACTGATGCATTGCCTAGGAACGGCCTGATGAGTCCATGAGCTGTCAGGTTGCATGTGCCAGCCCATGCTTTTAAGGCGGGC